TGGAGGAGGTCAGATCCTCACCATGCAGGTTGGAGGAGGTCAGATCCTCACCATGCAGGTTGGAGGAGGTCAGATCCTCACCTGGCTGTCACACAGTGTCCCTCCCCTGCAGCCAAGGGCAGAGCTGAGCTCGGGRTGCAGCCTGGACACCCTGGATGGTSAGRGAGGCACACGYTCCATCAGCAATCAAGGTGTGCTTTGRGTTAATAAATGTCCCCAGATAATGAGCAATTAACCTGGCACCTCCTCCCAGCAGGGTCTGTGTTTCATAAATCAAAAATACCTTTCTGAGAGGATGAGGGCAGCAGCCTTTCTCCCCTCGATGGGATGAGCACTGAACACCAAGGGAAGGTGGTTCCTGATGGTCAGGGCGGGCAGGGATCTCCAATTTCCACAGGATAAGGAGGACTCGAATGTCCTGCAGCTCAAACTCCAAGAAAGGGAACGAATGGAGCTGAATTCCCTCCCCATTTCTGCCCCAACATCCCCACAGTGACTCTGCTTGACTCAGCCACCACCACCCTGCAGCTCCTCCACCACAAAAATGAGGCCAGACTGCTTTGGTGAAGTGCTCTGTGGCTTTTAGAGCCAAAAGATGCTGGGTAAAAGCAAATCTTTTTTTTTCCCTTCAAACATTGCTCAATAAGTAACAGGCTAAATCCTGTTCCATGCYCAATTCCCCGGAGCAGAGGGCATTACCCAAGGAGCCAAGCAGAGCATTAGCCAGTTCAGCCTTGGTACTGACTCAGCAATCAGCACTGCTTTCCCCTCGMTGCCAGGAATGCTTTCCTGCCCCAGGCCCTGAGGGTTTTAAGAGTATTTTTGAGGAATTGGCGCCTCTGGAGCAGGGGGCACCTCCTCAGCCACATCACACAGGATCAGAGTTTGCTCCAAGTCAAACCAATGTTGTGGAAAGACCCCAAGGGCTGCTCTGACCCTGATTCCAATGGGGTGGGAGAAACTGAGGCAATGTCAGGGAAAGAACCAGGAATCCTGGACATCATCCAGACTGTTCCAGGCAGCACCATTAAAATACCAAAACCCAAACCGAGCTGCATTTTTGCCCCGAGGGCAGAGCGGCTTTTTGCTGGGAAGAATCTGAGTGCAGCGATGCAAAGGCTGAGGGAAGGGACCAAGGCAGCAGCTGCCACCCCATCCCTTGGCACCGTGCCCTGTCCCCCCTGAGCAGGATCCTGGATTTCCGGAGGGTTCCACCCACCGTGGGGAGGCTGATCAATGTCACCAARGAGATCCTGGAGGTCACCAAGAACGAGGTCCTGCAGAGCGTGTTCTTCGTGTCACCAGGTGGGTTTGGGATCGGATCGGGGTGAGGAACATTCTGATCCCGTGAAGGTCCCTCCCAATGTCACCCAAATCTGTGCTGGTCCCTGGTGGGAGGGAGGGAAGGGGATGGAGGGAAATGGGGTGAAGGAAAAGGGGGCAAAGGAAAAGGGGGTGAAGGAAAAAGGGATGCACGAAAAGGGGCTGCAGGAAAAGAGGATGCAGGAAAAGGGGATGCAGGAAAAGAGGATGCAGGAAAAAGGGGATGCAGGAAAAGAGGATGCAGGAAAAAGGGCTGAAGGAAAAGGGGATGCAGGAAAAAGGGATGCATGAAAAGGGGCTGCAGGAAAAGAGGATGCAGGAAAAGGGCTGAAGGAAAAGGGGATGCAGGAAAAGGGGCTGAAGGAAAAGGGGATGCAGGAAAAGGGGATGCAGGACTTGTGGTGTGGGGCAGGAATTGAATTCCTGGGTGAAACACGCACGAAGACACAGCTACAGCAGAGGTTCCCCATCCCAACCTCGAGCTGGAATCATCTGCCAGATCCAATTGTCTGGTGGCACCGGGTGGTGGGACCAGGAGTGCCCACTGACCCAAATCCAGGTGCCAGTGCCTGTGKCTGTGGCTCAGGCCCAAGCCTAAGGCAGTGGGCTGCTCATGGTGCACACTCCTGTGGGTTCCAGATCAGAAAGGTGATGGAGTAGAGCAGGGATGTTGGAGCCTTGCTGTGTTTGACTAGGCTGGCCTTTTCCAGCCAGAGCATTCCTGGAGCTCTGGGACCTCTGAACCCAAACCCTAACCTAATCCTCAATAATTACCCCAGCCAAGAGCCTGTGTTTTCCCTTCCAGAAAGATGGAGGACTGGCAATGTTTGGGCTCTGCTGACATGGCCCAGGTGGGCCCTGTCCAGCCCCAGCGTTCCCATAGCTCCAGGCCCTTCAGATCTCTCAACCCTAACCCTGGTGTAACCCTTGGTGTAACCCTAATCCTAACCCTAACCCTCGGTGTAAACCTAACCCTAACTCTCGGTGTAATCCTAACCCTAACTCTAGGTGTAACCCTAATCCTAACCCTAACCCCCGGTGTAATCTGGTGGTTTGACATCCATGCCATGGTCACACACACCACAAATCGCTGTCCCACGGTGGGGCAGGGCTCAGGCCAGGCCACCCCACATCCTCCTGGAGCTCACAGCCCCCTTTTCCCCATTTCCTGCTCTTCCCCCAGCCAGCAACGTCTGCTTCTTCGCCAAGTGCCCGTACATGTGCAAGACGGAGTACGCTGTTTGTGGGAATCCTCACCTGCTGGAGGGCTCCCTGTCTGCCTTCCTGCCATCCCTCAACCTGGCCCCACGGCTCTCCATCCCCAACCCCTGGATCCGCTCCTACTCCTTCCATGGAAAAGAGGAGTAAGTGGGTAAAGGATGCCCCTTCCCRTGGCTGTTCTGTAGGGTATGGACACCTGGGCACAAAGAATCCAGGCAGGGGAAGGACGAGGTTKGGGGTGCCCATAATTAGGGTAATTATCAGTGTAATGGCCCTTAAAGCCTGGGCATGGGCTGGGTTTGGATTCCAGTCTCCTGCAGGCACAAGGAGGGAGGTTAAACCCCTCTGGGTGGGCTTTGGGAGCTGTTGGGRCACGGCAGCAGCAGCTGAGGGCATCTCCCCTTCTCTATCTCATGCAGGTGGGAAGTGAATCCGTTCTACTGCAACACAGTGAGGGAGATCTACCCCTACAACAACAGCAACCGACTGCTCAACATCGTGGACATGGCCATATTCGACTTCCTTATGGGTAATGATGGGGAAAGGACTTT